AAAGCATCTTCTTTTGTAGTGGTGTCTTGATTCAATTCTTTTCTCCATCATTACCTGTCTCTTGCATTTTCACCTCTCCTTCTCCATTGTCTCCTTCCCATTTGCATTCAAACATGCTAAAATTCTCTCATGTTAAAAAACAAATACAAAAATCTTTCAAAATATATTTCCCACCAAGTGTTGTCTCCTCTTTCTTTCACCTTGCCTCCATAACCAGGCATCTTGGAAGGGTTGCCTAGACTAGATTTGAAGTCCCATTGTCTTTCTTTTCCATTCATTCCTTGTCCACTGCTACTTGATTTCTGCTACCATATCCTTGAACCTGTTCTCCTAAAGGTTGTCAATGACTGACTCCCTGATCACCAAATAAAATAAACTATTTCACATGTCAACACTTCTTGATGCTGTTGTCACTCCTCTTTCTTGAAATTCTCCTCTTTGTGTCAATGACAACTTTCTCTTGTTTCTACCCCCACCTACCTAACTCTTTTTTCTATCTCCTTCTGTGACTTTAATCTTGCCTTCCTTCATCCACCCTCTGACTGCTACTTCTTCCTAGAATTCACTCCTTAGACTTGATTGCAACCACTTTATATTCTTTCTCCATGTTTTTGTTGTTATATGCCGTGGAGTTGGCCCGTCTCATAGTGACCTCTCCTTGGGAGGAGTGACTGGTAGGTTTGAACAGCCAGCCTTCTGGTTAGCAGTCAAGTGCCTTAGGCACTATGCTGTTGTTGTTGTTGTTATGTGCCGTCGAGTCAAGCCCAACTCATAGCGACCCCTCCTTGGGTTTTCGAGGCAGTATCACTATGGAAGTAGGATTGCCCAACCTTCCTTCCGAGGAGTGGCTGGTGGGTTTGAACCGCCAGCCGTCTGGTTAGCAGGCAAGTGTCTTAGCCACTATGCTACCAGAGTTCCCAGGCACTATGCTACCAGAGTGTTAATTCTCACACATGTGCTATCACTCCCGAGTCTATATCTCCAGCCCAGACTTTGCTTTAAAACTCCAATTGCCCCAAATGTCCAACAGAAACCTAAAACTCACCCTGTCCCAAATGCCACCTTCTTCACCCCTTCACCTACCCCACATCTATTTCTTCTGCAATCCCTAACCTAGCAAAGAGAGCCATAATCCACACAAAGTTAGCAATTTGAGAGTTGGTCTAACCCACCCCTTTCCTCGTTCCTTACACAGAGTCAATCAACCAATCTTCTAAGTTTTTCCTCTGAAATATTTCTCAAATTCATCCCCTCCCACTACTCCATGGAATTAAATGGTATCAGGTGCGTAGCATGGTAGTGTCCCTGGGTGATGCAACCAATAATGCATTCGGTTGCTAACTGAAAAGTTGTAGGTTCAAATCCACCCAGAAGCACCTTGGGAGAAAGGCCTGGCAACCTACTTCTGAAATTAAGCTGATGAAAAATCTACGAATAATAACACTCTGATCTGCACCATTCATGGGGATGGCTCCAGATCAGGCAGTGTTTCATTCTGTTGTATGTGGGTTGCCTTGAGTTGGGGCTAACTTGACAGCAGCTAATAACAACAACACAAAGACAAGTGATCTGTCTCTGTCTGAAAACAAAGTGCTTTCCAAACCTCAGTCATTCAGAACTTCTGTGCCAGGTGAGACCTAGGACCTGGGGACACAGAGGAGGACGGGAGGATGAGACAGACCACATCCCTGTTCCCATAGGGCTTACGTTCTGGGTTGGGGGGGGGGAGAGGGTGAGGAAATGTCACAGAGTGTACTGTGACAAGTAGTGTGAAAAAGAAATTGAAAGAAAATCAGGTGATGCAGTAGTTATGAAAGGAAAGGACCATGGTTAGGGTTGACCCCAGGTCAGAGTTAACTGATCCATAAGATTCTCAGTGTCTGATTTTTCGGAAGTGGATCACCAGGCTTTTCTTCCAAGGTGCTTCCAGATTGACTTGAACTGCCAAATGCTCAGTAGCAGGCCAGTATGTTAACTATCTGCACCCCGAGGGACTTCCTGCCATCTCAGCTCCTCCCCCAACGTGGGCCCTCTCTGATCCTGCTCCTGCTGCTAAGGTTTGTCCCTGCATTTTACCTAAATGCACATTTGGTCCACATCCAAAGCAGCAATTGTTAAAGCTCTCTGTCACTGAGCTCTTTTGCCAAATGATTTCTGCTAAAATATTTCATGGCACTTTTATTTTTTGTAGCTCCTTCCTCTCTTTATTGTTAAGTTATCTCACTCCTATTATCTGTAAACATGTGTTCTCACCAATGCTTGTCCTGGACCAATTGTCTTTGGCACATTCTTGCAGTCTGGACAACAGAGAAATAGTTAACGCACACACACACATACAAACACACATTTCCACTTGTTTGCAGCACCTTCCGGTATTATCTCCGCCTTTGCAGAGTAATAGTAGCCTCCATTTATTTGCATCTACTATGCCCAGGTAGGAGCTCTGGTAGCATAGTGGCTAAAGCACTTGACTGCTAACCAGAAGGCTGGCGGTTCAAACCCACCAGCCACTCCTCGGAAGGAAGGT